TATGCTGCGTAGGATATGAGGAAAGAAGTAAAATGAAATGGGTGAAGAGGAAAAATATGTTTATATCAATAATAATCAAAATAAAAAATAAAGTAATGATGTTATGGCGTTTTATGCATTACCCGTTGTTGACTATCGCCTGTACCTGATAATCAATCATTTTTCCCACATTTAAGATGCACCTTTTCGGGTTGAAATGTTGCAAGACATTAATTATTAAATAAATTAGTATAGAAAGTAGTTACAGTAGCTAGAATTACCGAGAGGTGAAAAGGAGAGGCAAAATACTTTCACTTATTCGCGGCACACAGAATACTCTAAAAAAAAGGTAACCATACGACTTCTGGGACTAAAAAGTTTGACACTGACTTATCGCACTAGATTGTGCAGATTATGCAGGGTCAGGGTGACATTTCTTGTGTTATATCGAAGCATTGTATCGCAAAAAAAGTGTAAATATCAGAATGTCACTTTATTATATAATACACGTAATGACGCATAAAAATTTGTTCTATTCTGTACAATATCACTCGTCTTCAATATCATCCACAAATAATTAGACCCTTCTTCTTCGATCATGATTTCACAAATTACAAGTTTAAGTATGAAGCTTCTGAAACAATTTTCCTCATTCAATGTGGTAGGTGTCGCACACTACATTTTGTGTTAACTGGGTACCGTCATTCCATTCTAATATAATACTGTAAGGGCAGGATGATGCCAATTTGTTCACCTTTATAATTGGTACCATAATAGTTTATAGCTTCACCCACAACGATAGTGATATCTTCCTGGTTGTTTCATCCCATAGACTAAGCTGATTAGTCTTCTTGCTGTCACCAATTCTTTTTCGTGGAGTCGCAATTCAAAAAGCCCCACAAAGAGAAATTGTTTCCTCCATGAATATCATGAAACAAGGATTTCTTTTACGCTAGTAGAAAAACCCCGAGCTAGAATATTGAGAATAGAGGCACAATTCTTTATTTGATAAGAAAAGACTTTAGGGCGTGTAAGATTAAATTAATTTTGAAATTAATGGCCTTGTGTAAGAAGTTCGACGATGACAAGGAGAATTAAGGAAGATAAGGTGAGCTTGTAAATGCGAAATTGAAGAAGATTTGAATGAAATTCACTCAAATTTCCTACATCAAAAACTTAGGATAAGAATAAAATTTGATAAAATTTGATTGATAAGACTAAAGCAAATAAATATTTCACCCTAATTTGGAGTTTACTCTCCTATGAGATCCAAATATTCTTGGATTGTAACATAATTATATTTGAAGCCTAAGCTGTTAGCAACTTTTTCACCAAATTCTTTATTTACCAGCCCACAATACTGAGGAACTCCTTCTTTAATTCTAAGGATACCTATATTGGATGCTTGGCTAACAACTGCAGTAATTAAATCTTCCCTATAATCATCATCATAGACTTTTTCATATAGAATACGAGGTTGCTGGAGATCAATCTCGCTAAATCCAGAAATATAATGAAACGATTTGAACCAGATCTTTTCTTCATGTGTTCTTCTTACTTTTTCCTTCTGCAAAATTTCATATTTATCAACCTCTGATTCTGTGACTACTCCCAAATATGTCTTTTCACGTGGTATCTTTTATTGCGTCTTATTATTTATTCTTTGTTCTATATTCTGTATATTGCAACCTAATTGGTAGCTCCGGGATCAGAATTAGGTTAATCGAAAGCAAATTTTGCAGTGTATAAAATTACAAGTATAGAAACATGTTGTTATAGTACTATTATATTTGTTCTAGTGCATATTAAGATTAAAGCTTTAGTCACCCATATCGAGATTAAGTAATAATCTTTGTTCGCCATGGTCTTTAAAGCTTCTTTAACTTCAAAAACCTGATTAAATTATGTTGCGTACAAAGCTGTGAATAAAATTAGAGAAAGTTTATAAATGTTTTATTGCCTTCTAGTTATTTAGAATGCTTAGTGATTATTGACTTCCTAGCAAGCTTTTTTTTTTGATTCAGTCTTTGCTTCTTTCTTTTGGTTTCTATTAATATATTCTCAAATCTGCTAACTCCTAAATTCTAATAAATATTTATATCATGCATTACCTTGCATTTTTTCTAGTAATCTTCAAATGAAGATACCTTGTAGTAGCAATCTCTGGTCACCATATGTACGAAAGCTCAGGACAGTTTCTATTTTTGACGAGTTAAAATTATATATTTCAGCTGATTTAGAATAATGATTTCGTTACATAAAATATACTAAACATAGTTATTGGAACTTTAGAAGATATTTTTGAGAGCGGAAGCTTGACACCGCGAAAAAGAGGGACCAAAAAAATCTCACTTGATATTTTTACTTCAATCATTGCTCGAAAACTCATTTGAAGCTCTGTTTAAAGAAGGTCCATGGAATTAAACGAAATTTCCCCCAGTATGTTTTTATCACAAGTGCATACATTTTTCTTAACCAAAAAGTTTCTTCCTCATATCTATTGAGAAAAGAAAAGCGTGGATGAATGAAGACACTATAGGACAACTCTTTATTTCAGTAGTTTAGGTTTTCAGTATAAAAGTAATCGAGATAGCTATATATTTCGTAATAGATTCTAATTTATATTTATAATTTAATTCATCTGTTGTTTGTAGTGAAAATCAGTTAGAAGTCAGTTTTCGCATTATATCCTAATTATAGAATGTATTCCACAGTCAGTAAAAATGATGTATTAACTTCTTATCTTTCTTATTGCTAGCTTTGTATTCATTTGTTACCCAATAAATTGAAAGTCCCTTTCTTTTATGACTTTGGAAGTTTATGATTATAATTCATCAAACAATATGCAAAAATGTTTTTTGTTTTATTTCTATCTAATGATTACGTACGTATCTCCGGAAAGTATCTTTTCTCAGTCTAGCCTGAGACAATAGTTGGACTAAAAAATAAATAAATTGAATTTAAAGGATATTCAGAGTTACCTGCTGGGCATGGTACCCAAAAAAAGTAATATACGGTGGTATACATATTTCTCCTTACACGCTTGTTTAGGTATAATTTTGGTTCAGACATTAAAGAATGGTTTATTTTGCATTTATTTATAGAATCAGTATTGGAAAGTGGTGTTTTTGAAGTGGGGTTGCCCCACTCTGGGTTAACTGTGTATTTTATAACCGCGGCCAGTACTTCAGGGAAACCTCCCAATTCAGGTGCCCCGGAATCATTTCCAAGATCATTGCGACTACCGGATTAAATACTTTAATTTTATTTGTTATTTCTTAGATGTTAATCATGGAGACTATAACAAGGACTCGAAAAATTTGTTTTATATCCTCGGATAAATTGTAGTTTTTGCTTATAAAGTATCTTGAGCTGTCACAAATGTAATGGGCGTAAGGAAGTTAAGGGAATTAGCCAATGATAAAAAGAATATACTGCAAGGAAATCATTTCTGTATTTCTCTACCTGAAGACATATAAAACTTATGGAAATTTCCCAAATGCTTATAAGATTGAAGAATAAAAGTCTGAGGAAAATGAGGGCTTACTCAATTATATATTTCATATCTGCTATAACTGTTTCATTTGTGGGTGCTTACAGCAATTTAATCTACAACTTAGCTGTCGATATGGCAGAATATTGCCGTATAAGTTACTGCATAAAAGGCTTCGGAAATTATGACTTCTTAATTGATGCACCTTCGCTACAAACTGGTGACATTTCATTAGCTTGTCCAACATTAACTTTTTGCCAAGACAACAAAGATATTGAAATTGTTCAAATACTCAATCCTAATATTTCGAAAGCCGAAATTAGTGGAAGTGGATATGTAGCAATAAACCATGCTAAGAGACATATAATTGTTGTTTCTCGTGGGAGCTATACAATTCAGGATTGGGTTTCAGATTTTGAATTCGCTCTAGTACCATACAAACGTTGTTCGTTTTGTACTGTACACAAAGGTGTTTACATGGCAACAGAAGTGATTAAAAAACAGGCATGGGACACAATTAAAAATCTCTTGAACAAATATCCAGATTATGAACTTATTGCTACTGGACATTCCCTCGGAGGTGGACTTACCGCTCTTGTTGGTCTCGAAATGCAGCTTGACTTCAAAAAGCGTGTCACTGTTGTTTCACTCGCAGGTTTGAAAATTGGTAACAACCATCTTGCCGAATTTATAGATGAAACCTTCAACTCTTCTAAATACCTAGAATCTGTTAACGACAATGATGCTAATGGAACTCAATTTGGTGGGTTTTTAAGAGTTGTACACGAAGCTGATATAGTTCCACTTATTCCTCCTACCCCATTATATTCTCATGGGGGTATTGAGCTCTATATTAATAAAGTCAGACTCCCCCATCCTCAAGAGTCCACGGAGATAAAAGGTATGTACAAGTATGAACCATTGTCATCCCAACTTTTCAATATACTTAGTCAGAAATCACTACAAGAGACTTTAACTATATATGAGCATAACAACTACTTTATGTACATATATGGATGTAATTCAACAAGTGTTGCTGACTTTATTCCTGGTCCAAACCCACCAACTGATGGTAATATTACTGCTGCTGCGCTTCGAGCAACAATGATAAATCATCCTACAAGTTATTCTCGATCAACTTTGGTTGCTTCTGTCACAACTTATTGAGTACCTTACATAAAATACAAATATTATTTTTGAAATATTTTCTTAAGCACTCTCATCTTTAAATATAAATCACAAATTAGAATATTAGACAAAGTTGAATAGAGTTATTCATCTTCTCTGGTAAAAAAGAAATTAAACATTTTGGTCAATTATATTAATAAATAACAAAAAAAAGTGACTATCTGCTGCACTTGAAAATTGCGCATTCTTACCAGGTTCGCGCCCGTCTGGTGCAATGTCGCGGGTGCAATATCGTAATGTTTTCTTAAAATAGTAAAACTATGAGAAAGAGATAAAAAGAGTATTACGTCATCGAAAAGTTAGTGAAGCACACTTTCTCTGCAACTGCATATCAGGAACTAAATAGTTCATGGGTGTTAGGTCAGTAGGAAGATTGATTATTTCAATCTATCATTCGTTCATTTGCTGCTGAGCTTCTACCAAACTATTTTCAACCTCTCTGACGCTTGTTTTCTCGCTGCTAATTATTGCAAATACTATACCCTGCAATTAGTCGGAAGTGTGACAAACCCATACGAAAACTGAAATCGTGGTTTTTGATTACTTTTGAAAGCTCCATGACAGCCACGCATTGAAATCGCACATTAATCCTTATCTCCTACAAGAGAATATACAAAGTGTGCATTGCGATTTCTTCCCATTATGCCTTTATGACAGGCCGGTATGTAATTCCTAACCCAAAACACGGCTTATCGTATCTTTTCGGCAAATAGAGGGATATGTGGTAACAAGGTACATTCTCTATAATAGACCTCATTTGATAGCCACGCATTCCGTTTATAACCGAGGGGTTCAGAATAAG